GGGGGGGGGGTTGGAAAAGGAGCTATGCATTGAAGGCAATAGCTTTGATGCACGAGCGCCATTGAGGGCGCGACGGGGACATGTCTGACAATGTCTCTAGCCACTGATGTGGCCCGTCTCGGGGTCCCCATCCAGGAAGACGGCAGTGACCAGCGCAGCTGAGTTTGCTGGTAATGGCTTTCATACTTCGATGTTACGGTAGACAAAATAATGACGACAAAACGGTAGTTGACACCACTAGACATGCAACAATATAGTGTTTTCTGAGAGCTGAAGGTCTTACGCAAAAACTGGTAACAGTAAGCCCTTGTTGAGGTTGGTTTGGGCGCCTGAGAGCTACTACATAAATAAGCTAAACTCCACGGCCGAAAACAGTGCTTATGGAGGATTATTCGTGTACACCTGTCCTACAGAATCAGTGTCACTGCGGCTGTACGCTAGAAAAAAAGGGAAAAACTACTTTCGAAAATCCAAAACACTGCTTTTGTGGACAATATATTCAACGCCTAGATAATCACACCAGAGGGTGTGAATACAGCCACTAGGTCTACCTAGGGAATGCGTAATATAGCTGAGAAGGGGAGAGTACGTATTTCTTGCAGGATCTATGTGAAGCCGACTCATCCTGCCATCAGAGCCAGTCGCCTTAAACCAAGGTATATATTTCATTCAGGTCACATGGATTCATTGAGAATCCCAATTAGCACAATACATTTGACATGAGGAAAACGTCTTATCCTCAAGAATCGGCATAAACTGAGATCACTTTTGAGGATGTTTGATCATTATGCAAGACTCAATCCAAGATAGACCACTTTGTTCTGGCTGGTGAATAATCTTGTTCACCGTAGTGTGGAATAGATATGGACTAAGGCTAGGGAGTCCACACTTGTCAGCGCTTTTCAATGTTAGTAAAACACATTATGGGTTATGTAGCATATCTCCTAATGGTGAAGGGTATTCGTTGCCTTCGAAAGGAGGGAAATGAATAGCTATCAGTTGGATGTGTTTCCAGATCCTGATTTCAGAGTGAGAGGAACTACGCGCACTTTGAAAGCATCCTTCATAATCGATCTAGGTTCTAAAATGTTCCAGTGTCTTCGAGAACATCTAAACTGGGTAACATCATGCAGGCACCGTTGGTTCGATTGGTACGTCGCTGAGATAAACGGGGGTGGAAACAGACTGAAGGGTATGAAGGTGCTTATTCTGTGGTGGCCGGTTGATTGACTGTCCATTGCAGTCAAACTTACGTTCCGCCTAGCTTCATCAATTTCCGTGAACTGCAGAATTTCCTTAAGAAAAGGTAAACTGTTTCAAGGCAAGCCAGTAGTATCACCAGATCTAAATGAAATCCAGATTCAAAACTAATTACATTATCCAGATGCAGAAAGCGTGCGAAACCGCTTTTGCTGAGGAGACATTGAAATCCCCTGAAGTTTTCCCATAGATCGATTCAATAGATTTTCGTCGTCTCCAAGGTTGTATAACCAACCGTGCACACTCAGTGCAGGATGTTTCCTCCGTGACTATGACCAGTCTATTTGCTGCAGTGATGACGTTATGACCAAGCAATGCCTAACAGATACTCATACTAACAGATTCGTGGGATCTCTTGTGAGTAGCCCATACATCTCCAGTGGAAATAGTATAGTCATCATGTGAATCCAAATCAACAGATAGAATAATACAATCTCGGTCGTAGTATCGATTCCAGATAATGTAGATGTATCTATCGGTTTGAGCTTCGTAATTGCTGGGTTCGAATGACATGTTTTGAAATCCTTTGGTGAGGTTGGAGCTTTGCATGCATCTACTGATTTGTCGCCACTACTTCTTCTGCCGCATAAGTGTATCAGCTAGTATGGCCAACTTTGCGAGTCACCTTGCATCAGAAAAGCATAACCCAGTGATGCCCCCTTCTCCAGGCTTGTGATGCACGAAGGTGGGAGGGCTACTCCATCTCCTACTTAAACACATCCATAGGAGAGTCTTAAAGATGACCGAACAAGGGAAGTGACTTTTCTTGACGGTAAAAGGTTCCATTTAGTCGGTCCGGATGGAACAATGCAACACAAACATGACATCGGGAAGAAACGTAGTGTTTTCGAAGACACGAGTACTTTGATCGCTCTGTAATTACTTGGGCTACCATCCTAACAGGAGAGAAGAGATAAAGATGTATTTCAGTCGGGACGCTGCAGTCCTTCCAACATGCATAACCGCGACCAAGAGTGGGTGTCTTGTTATTCTTACCCCATGCACTCGCCCTTCCTGACGAAATCATAGTTACCTTTTCAAACTAATCGAGTGTTCCATTTCTAAACGGCCATCCCAATACATTTTCCATTGGAAGTATCCGGGACTACACGACCAAGTAGGCATACATGTCGACCCTATGTTCCGTAATGCCAATGAAAAGTCCAGATCGGTCATAATTCTAGAATATCATGCGTTCTGTGTTCCAAAGTCGTTTTTGGTTATAGAGAATGACGTTCAGTTTTATTTTCAAAAACCTCGCTTGTTCATTTGCTTATCCGGTGTAGCTGTGTGGATACTTTGCACTCTTTCCAGACGTAATGTAGAGCTTTCGCTACTCAGCACCACTTGTCCTGAAGGCTCAACCAGATTGTCCGCGTAAAGAAAGAGACGATATTTCTTTTGATAAAGTGGTGACTTGAGGAAGATTTTGTGTCCTACATGTTGAACGCGGAGATTCAGCACAAGACTCGAGAACTTTGCTCAGTCACGAGCCCAAGTTGAAGTATTCTGTCGCACTGTACATGAGAGGTGTATACAGTTTTGCGCCCCTAACATTTGAGCCTGATTCATCTCTGTCGTGCAGTCATCATGCTGCCCACTTGCTCCGCTCTACCGAGACCGACAGAATAGCTAACGTATAGTCCTTGCGCTATTAGGAGCAGAATATATGCTCATACCTCCCTTGCTTTTGCAACTTATCGATTTTTTTCGAAATTCCAGACTCTGTTGCGATTCATACGAATCTACAGATAACTTCCCTTCCAATTCGTTCTTACATGTTCACTTAATATTCTAGTGAGGATAACTTTTACGCTATTACTTGTTCACGCACGCCGTAGCTCTATTTATACTTGGGAAGTGCCCACTCACTCATGTGGGGAGCTGAGAACTGACCACACAAGACCGCTACAAAAGAACGTAGCATCTTACGCAGATGTACATCAATACACTTATTCCTGCTATTTCACACTACGCTGGAGTTTGTCGAGAGTGTAACCCCCGCCACACGTACCAACTCGTCAAGCCAGATTCTCTATATCCCTAACGTACCAAACGGTCCGTTTGCTTATTGGTTGTGCGAGAAGTTTCTGAAATTCCTACCTGGACTTCATCAAGAAAGTGAATACAGTGTCTTAGACGTCAGTAGTTACTACGTCACATAACGACCGACTCGTTCCGGGTCATTCCACTTAGCTGGTTTTCGGTCCAGTTAGTCAGGCATACATTCTTATCGAACTGGTTGTACGGCACTTTCAGGGAGCAGCACCACATGGGTGTGGAGAGGTTTGAATTCCTTATCTTTCTGCTATTCGCTTTAGCTGCACAGGAAAAGTGAAGTTGGATGAATTTGCGGAATTATCTGACTCACCCGCTATATAGATATCTCGATGGAATGCACCAGCTGCCAGAGCAACGCTGCGAAAATGAAATGCAGAAAGTGATTAAATTAAAGAAAGTGCAATTTGTGGCCCAAGCAGCTATCGACTACTAGTGAGTCTATCTTGACCTCCTGGTGATTCCTTCCACCTATTTACCTACTCCACCTGTATATTTTTCGCGTTCCACCTTTTCACCCAAATCATGACCGTTTTACTCACCACCAGCCTCGCTGCACTGTGTGCCTCCGAGTCCTCCAGCGTGCGTATGTTCGTGAGCGTGCGTTAGCCCAACCGCTCGCCTGATGCCGTTAACCCAGCCTTCCCCTAGTTTTGGCATGACACCCGGGTTGTTACCCCACCATGAATCTGATGCATTGGATGAAAAGACCGGAAACTCATGCTACCTGGACAACACCCCATTCGCCACTATCCGGTGTGCTGACTTTGGCACTGCACTGTATCTACCATTTATGGGGCTTGTGTGTGTGTGTGTCGGTGACCGCCTAAAAGCCCCGATACCCAAGATTTTGCCAGCTTACTTGTCAATCTTTACTGAAGGCCAGACAACTACCAGTTGATGGGCTTGGAGTTCAGTAGGGTATAACCATAGTGGATGTGATCCTCCCTCCTGTCGGAACTAATCAGGTGGGCACACAGGGCGTAGCGAAAAGAGACCGAAACACTTCTACCCATCACTTTTATTACGTCCAAACCACATCATTTTACTTAAATGAATCGTTACATGTGACAGTGAATAGAGCTATTTTATTCGAAGTGTGTCCTGATGACCCGTTAGGATGTGAGGCCTCTATCGTTTCAAGGGCTACTACTTGGAAATTCCGTGTTGGCAAGTCAGCTTTGTAATCTTAAGTAGGCAAGTCATACACCCAAGTGTCGGCTCTACAAAGGCCTTGAAGGGCTTCACCTCATTCTGACCGTCACCAACATGGGTTCGCCAAGGCCAGCTAGAGAATATCTGCCTAATAAATCACGTAAAAAATTAAGGCAGTGCAGACCCAGCACAATTTGAGGGAACTTAACGAACAGCGTACCTGCGCTACGACACCGTGAATATTATTTCACTCAAATGCTCACAAATGCAGCTTAATCTTAAAAATTGCTCGACCTGCCAGGCTCTTTGAACAACATTAGGGCGTACGATTAGACTTCCATGGCATTCCAAAGTACACGATACAAGTGAGCGAATGATCCAATAGTAATATCAGGATCTCAAGGTGGTGAACATCAGATTTTCCGAGGTCTCGTCATTGAATCAGCACATTTCCAACAGTTGACATAATGGTATTGGCCAACATGAGTTGTCCAGGAGTTAAAATAAACAGATAGGAAGACAGAACTATTGAATGGCTAGAAAAACGAAATTTCATACAATTAGACGGGCTCTGGTCTAGAGGAAGGTGGGTTTGGCATGGTGTGCGCAGGACGAATGTAAGTTCAAAGTTGGTACCAGACGTTTTTGTCAACCTAATGTTGAGTCTCGTAGACGTACTGCCACCGCTACAGATGCCGTCATGCAGTGCCTTTAAAGCGACTGGGCAACATACGGAAGAACCTGCAGATTATTTGAAACGACAGGTTTGGGTTGTTCATGTGGCCGATCTCAGAGATATATGACGGGATCGCACATTTGACCGTTTTACTGGATCTACTGTTGTTTCACAATGAGTGTTGCTCATGTATTTTCTCAACATATTCTGCTTTACAAAAGCAGGGAAAACTTCACACAACCAAACTATGGATGTGAGTCGGAATCTTGTTCATGAAGTAAAAATCGAGCAGCAATTTATGGTGACCCGTAATCTTAGAGTTGCTCCCAGGAAAATTCTTTGAAAATATATAGCGGCTGACTATACTAACAGGTATTCTATAAGTACCAAACCCAGATAGATTGATTTCAGTGTGCTTCGGTTCAGCTTTGGGTATCATCAGATCAAGGGAAATTAATTATCCGTTTCGGTTCCAAAAGTGAACAGAATGGTAGTGTGGTCTTGCTTAATGGTTTGCAGAAGGGGAACAAGTTCGAAAAATTTTCATCAACGTATCCAAGATGAAAATCTGCCACTAACGTCATCATTCAATCGATCGGGCTTAATGTTGCTCAAGAGAGTATCAATTAACAGGAGACCAAGTGGCGAACTCACAGCAACGTCATCGATTTAACGATAAATACTACCAAATACGCTAAACTTTACTTTGAAGGCCCATCTTCGCAATAGCGAATTGCTTCTGTCAAAGGTCTTTATCCCAACCGATTGTGCCGCGCGGCGTACTGCAATTGCAGTCTGCTTAAGCAAGCGGTCTAACAGAGTGGTGGTCTGTCAGTGTTACCGACCAGCATTGTAGTGATGATGAGAGAAAACCTATGTGATGCGCCTGAATAATTTGAAGAGCAGGGGAATCAACGACCGGAAGCTGCGTATCAGCGTGAATCACCATCTTTCGGCTCCGCAAACAAGTGATCGTGAAAAATTTCAGGGGGAAAAGAACTAGAATCAACAAATTTTGAAATGGTAAACGTTCCATCTGAGCGCTCACTTACCGTCTGATTAGCTAATCAGCTAAGCGAACCCATAAGTTCTAACTCAGATTATGCCACTTCTCAAAGGACAACGATTCACATTCATGATATCTTAGTTGGCGATATTTTTTTCAAGACTTGAACTGATCCTCACGCAGATGATATCCCAGTGTGATGAACATGACTGATACTCTGTTCGTTGCTCTATTCATTATTCTCTTGTTTTAATCTTCCATATGCTGTACATATTCGCCAGTTCGAATACATACGTGCTGGTTGTTGCGCTTCGCTGAATTCTGGATTTCTAGTTTGTCGAGTTGTGCCGATATACACACGAAACTTAATTTTCACACCCAAGTGAGTTGGAGTGAGCACTTCTTTTCATGGTGCATTGACTATATCTATTACTAAAAAAGGATGATTTGGTTTCAAATTATCTCACGCTGATTTTACTCAGATGCGGAGCTATACAGCCAAATCGGAAGACCGCATGACCCATTCAAGATTTCAGTCGGGCTATTTGTCCTTGCGATGTGAGATTAGAAGGGAAAGTACGAGAAGACAGTATAGACGAAAAGCTCACCCTAAGCCCAAACTGAGATGATCGACCAAAGTGTTTGCTAGAATCAGAAAGATTCAAAAGGCTGACATTTCACTGACGAGGGTTTCGTTCCCTAGAGTCCAATACAACTCACTTGTCACATCCGGGCTTGAGACAGACGTTTTGTTTTCATAAACTGGTNGATGATCGGAAGATCGGATTGTCCGTATCGAATCATAATGCAAACAACACACTGTGCCTTTCTTTTGAACCTTGTACAGGATTCGATCCTAGTTAAGCAGAAGATGAAGGTAGGAAGGAGCCGATTATGATAAGACAGCGCAGAACGAACTTGGTTGTTGTACTTCATGCTGGGAGAGTTTCGTTCAAAGTTAACCTTAGTGAGATCGTATTGATTCTTTGGAGTCCAAAATTTTGCTTTCCTGACTTGACAGGAGGCTGGGACACTCTGTTTATTGTTGTGATGTAATTATCCTAGGAATGTGTGCTGAGATGGTAACACCATTCGTTTCAACTGAAGCTCAATTGTACACAGACTGAAAGCCTCCGAGGCTGTTCCTATCTCTAGACATTCCAAATGGTATAAAACTAGACATATCCAAGCCCGAACTGGAGTCTTAGATCATCTCGTTCACACGGTTTACTTATTGGTGTAGCTAATGAATGTTACTACATGGACTTCTGTTATCACCATAAACTCCTAAATTTAAAGAGAAAGAGGAGATAAGCAGTTAAGTCGAACGACTCAAAGTTTAATTGCCCGAATTAGAACTGAGGTTGTTTTCACTTGATATATCGGTGGTTAGCTCCAACTGAATGAAAAGCCGTGCGATTTCGATTTTGTACAATTCATATGCGCTGTGAGAAGGCAATGACTTGTTTGTTTCCGTTCACACTTTCAACCATGTACCGATTACCAAATTTCCAACTATCAAATGGCCAGCCGATGGAGAGAAAATCCACGTGTATGTGATTTTGATGGAAATTAGTTCGGTGGAATCGGTGCGCAATCGATGGTCGTGCTAGTTTATAGTGATTTCACTCTGCATAAAAATTAAAACGATAATTGTACAGAGACAGAAACATTCACGGAGAAAACGAAGTTTATCGAATTGTATCGTTCTCCTGCTGCTGTGACTCGCTGAACGGTCGTAAAACTCTGTTGGTCCTTGGCTTCCTGTTCCGCACATCATGGTATATCAAAGGATACGGTAGCTCAGGACAACCCCTTATAGAGACAAAGGAAGATTATTCCAACTGTATTTATAGGGTAATCAAAGAATGTTCCACAAGGTCGTGTTAGCATCTCCGTGAGGGGGGCGGGTAGCATCGAGGTAAAGTTGTTCATTCCAGATTGGCCGGTATTCTGACCAATCGGGGCATGCCTTCGTTTGGTCCTTAGCCCGCACGTGACACATCATCATCATCATCAGTGTGAGCTCTAATAACCGCGTGCTTGCCGTACATTGGTTGTAGCTGCCACAGTTGCGTTCACCGATGATTCGGGGAGGTGGGGTAGCGCATTTGAGGCAGGAGGTGATAAATTATCGCGTAAATACAGCACTGTAAGTGGGCTGTTAAATAAGGGGATTTGGAAGGTAGCTATGCAGTGCAGACAATAGCTTAGATGCATGAGCGCCATTGAGGGCGCGACTAGGCCATGTCTGCCAATGCCTCTAACCATTGATATGGCCCGTCTAGTGGTCCCCATCCAGGAAGACGACAATGGCCAGCGCAGCTGAGTTTGCTGGTAATGGTCTTTATACTTCGCTCCCAAATAATTGGTTGACCGCCCCTGGCTCTCTTCCTCCCTTCACGTGGTTGTGCGAAAACAGCCCTCCGTGGCACATTCGTCCAAATGATATGATGTTCGGTTATTACTGCCGGCTGACCTCCGAACACCCATAGACCGCATTCCATCCTCAAAAAGCTAGCTGGCTAAGTTATCGGTGAACACCGTGCTAGATATAGCCATAAGCAATAAATCATGTTCACCCGTTTTGCTGTCCATGCACGCTACCTTTCTGTTGGTCGGCTATGACATCACTCAAAGTCACCTCATTCTTTTTTGTAGCTGATCTCCGAATGAGAGTTTGAAATTAATGTTATGTAGCAATGTGGTGTTTAGAGTTGGTTTTCATTCGGTCATGACGTCTTCAACTTCTCTTTGGGAACGATTTGCTGAAGACTTATATTTATGCAATTTTTACATCTAGAACAAAGTGAATTGAAAGGATGGGTGGAGTAAAACTTTGCAGCAGCTTCTGCGGTGGAAAAATGTTGTTTTTCCGTACCAACATTCATCATTTTTAACAGTCTCAATTTAGGTCCTTTTTAAGAACACTCTTCTTACGCGAGTTGTACTTACCGAAGCCTCTAACCAAATTTTCAAATGTTTTTGTACCTCCACTTACTTAGCACTATTACCTTCAGTTTTGTAAATCGGCCAGTTTACTTTCGATTTTCTCATTTTACTTGGTATGAGTGGATCTAGCAACAACCAAGTCGGGTGAAGACTAGTAAAGCAGTCACATGCTCCTGCAAAACTTCAATACTAAATCATTTTGTGCACTGCCATCAACTACGATGCAATACATTTTTCAACGGAGTGGCCTCTCAGGGTCACTGATAACATAAGCAACAATATTTGCACTGTTGTGACTCACCGTGTAAGCTGGAACACGGCATTTCTCAGAAGTGTCGAAATTGTCCGAATTGATATCATACTTGTAGGTCGGTGGAAACCTTATACGCCCTTCTTCGAACTGCTGAAAGACTTGACCTGTTCAAAGGCCAAGGGAATTATGAAGGGAATATTACTCAGCAGAAACCAAAATTATTGGAATTTACTCAGTATTGACCATTTAATGCTAGAAAAACACGGAATTCTGAAGCCCTTCTCCAAGCATGTGTCGCGAACCAATTCCGGGTTAACAACTCTGGAAAGATGCATACTGGTGGATAGTGATGTTGACAGATGCTGCCTATCCCTGATTTCAGTAGTGGTCCGATGTAAGTGTTCTGCATCCAATGAGTGGTTGTCTGCAGCAGTCGGACGGAGAACAAACACCGCTCAAACGCAAACATGCTTCCGCGTTGTGAGTTTCGGTCAGCGCTGGAGTGTACCGCTTAAACAGGACCAGACTAGTCAGGTCCAAATGAACTCAGGCTGAATCACACTGTATAACAGTAGTAGAAATCTTTTTTCGGTCAAAACTAATTTTACCCCCAACTAACCCACCCCAAATGACACCATCAATGTACGCCTGAATATGACCAGATCAGTCCCTAACTTGACTGGCAATCATGAGCACTGGTGGGATATTCCATTTAGAAAAATGAAACCTGAGCTAACTTAAAGAGTATTCAGAAACCCGAACCTATCATACTGAGACCAAACTAAGACTATCCAGCAGTATTCATTGTTTGGTTCGCTGAACTTACCCTCCAGAAGAAAACGCGAGATAAATGCTTTATGTGGCAACGCGAAATACTTCACTGTCCAAATTATATGTGGAAAACTTTGGGAGCTTCTGACAACCGATATTCCACCTATTTAGATATTACTCAAACCTGCGCAAAAATAGATTTGTAGTAGTAATAGCCTGAGGTTTGGGAACTACTTTGGATCAAAATATTTAGGTAGAGGTAGATCGTGTCCAGCCTTGACCTCAGCTAATTCCTTGTCAAAAGAAGGCAGAACAAAAAGTGAAAACGATTAGTTTTCCTGTAAACTGTGCTGCTTTAGTTTACTAGAAGTTACAGAATATCTTACGTGTAATAAGAACAACTGCATGCCGCTCAAATAACCCTCTCTAATTGAATTGCAACAACAGGAAATATTGTGAACAGAAGCAGATTTAAAGAAACGTACATACATACATACCACTCAATTTCCATAAGCTAGTTACTCAAATGCCATACAATGAGCCATATATTTTTAAAAGGTATAGAAAGCTGCGATGCTTGGATCTTCGTACAATTCCATGGTGATTTAGCATTGTGGGGAAAAATGGTGAGTCTGACTGTTGTTCTGTCTCAACATTTGATCGGGTCACTCTATATCAGGATGACCGCTAGGCTGCATTAACACGCCTTTATTAGAATCTAATTGAACTAGGCCTTTGAAGGCTAAGCTGTAGGTGCATTTCGTTTATCCCTCTTGACTGCTGTTCACTGGAGCTTATTCAGTGGAGCATACCCTGGTATCGAGAATAGCGAACAGGTGGTTAACAGGATTTTGTTCTGCAATCCCATCAACGTCAATACGACTGAGGTACACTCAGCTCACATGCCCAGTCGGTCATACAGAACTCTGAGATCAGATTTTTGGCGTGTTACCATTCTGCATCCCATAAAGTGGTTTCATATCATCCGAAAGGTTTATGTATTCCATCCGAATTGGCATATGCAAATGAAAACATCGTCCAGATGGGTGAGATAAACATTTCCCCTTACTTATCGAAGTTTTTGGAGGAGCTACTTGCCGGAACGAACGTTGGTTTTTAAACTCTTGAGAAATTGGATAGCATGTATGATGTGATTGGTAAAGCAAACAACTTTGATTTTATTACCAGATAATCAGGCGAAAAACTCCGTAAAACTAGTACAGAATTTAAATTTTCTACTGAATCCCATGAGTTCACGCACCTTTCAGCTGTGTTGAGACAAGTTCATCGAAGTTGAGCAGATGGTCAAAAACGCTGCTTTTTCTTTCTGTGCGTAGCATGTTTTCCACCTGACGTCTCGTTTTTTGTAAACGGAAATTCAAATCTCCAGCCCAGAATACTGCATCGAATCTATCCAAAGTTGATTTATCTATGAAGAGAAAGGTAACTGATTGGATTTATGCAGAATATTCAGGCAATCTGCTTGCAATCTGCTCCACTTTTATGACGTAGTTCGATTGAGCCCTTTGTTGGACAACTAGATATGTAAAAAGTAGGTGTTCTTTGCCAAAAAAAACATAGTTTCAGAACCCTGTTTTTGCTGGAAAAAAGATATTACCTGAGATTTTGCCGCATATACCATTCCTGGGGAGACGGTTGATGTGAGATTGGTGGGTTCATTCCGCACACTACCTAGATCGCTCAGGTTGTAAAAAGGCGAAGTGATACTCAAAGATCCGATGCTTAAATTTCATCCGAATTTTCAACTGTATTTCCCTGTTTGGACAACTTGGTGGCTTTCTTTCGAACATGTGGTATGCAGACAGCGAAAGCATTGTGTATTAATGGCAATGGTTGTACGGTAGCGAACCATCAGTGTTGAACACTGATAGCATACCGTCGATAAGGATGATAATGTAATGACAATGTTTTGTTTGCATTCACACCTTTTTCCTCTGAACAATCCTGCTCATTCTTGGAAACGGTTGGTCAAAACCAGAGCAAAGAAGCATAAGGTTGAAATCTTCTTATTCGAACTCTTCGAGACTTCAGTTTGATGTGGGTCAACTAGAGTGATTGATCCAAGTTAAGGAAAGGACTGTTCACATAAAAGCAGTGTAAATAAAAGTTCAGTGAATCCCATAATCCTGTTATTACCAGCCATTTTACTCAGTTTATTGCGATTAAGATTGAGATAACTTGAGTGGCGCAATGGAACTATTTTATTGATTACATTATGAGTCTCCAGTTTTTTCTTGGCCTGCTCAAAGTTACGAAATCCCGAGAAAGACCAAATGGCAATTCATCGGTTGATTTACATCGACAAACCGCAAAGTTCTGACAATAATCCAAAAGAGTTTCAAAATGGTAAAAAGGGAACCAGTGTCTGAAGACGATTTCAGTTGCGGAATACTCAGCAGTATTTGACTTGGTGTTTTGATAGCCATTCAGTTTGGCAGACGAAAAAACAACTGCAAAGGAGCATGTCCTCATTTATTGCTGACATGCTGCAACCAGTTGTATCTAGCCTGCAGTTAAATTGGTTGCATAACTTGCAGGAAAATGACAAGCGAATTGCTGGTCAGTTAGTTCTAACATTTCCGAAAGTCTAGCTCGTTTTTTGTCCACGTTTAACTGGTATGAAGGAAACGTGCGCACGGAAGTGGAGTTTGGACGATATGGAGTCTGGCTTGCAAAGAACATGTCTCATCCACTGTAGTCTGTGTCGCTGGATGGATTTGGTTAAGGGTAGGATACTACAGCGGTGGACTGTGACACCGTTTCAGCACATTTGTTTTGGGCAGTAGTAGTCGAGTAGCCCAATTCTTCGTAAAACGTCAGCTCTGAGAAGCTACTCATGACAAGCGCAATTTTGTACGGATCAGAAGGCTACAGTATTTATAAGGAGTTTCTCGTTTAAAGGTTGGTTTCAACGTTTTTCCAGAGGCGATGTAAAATTGCATTAAACTCCTCCTGGTGTTGTGGATGCAAACGTCTACTGCCTGTCTTGCTTGGGTGATTGAACGCAACTACTTGAATGAATCTACTTGGTTTTGAGGATCTCGCTTAACGCTGGGCAGACTAGACTGGACACTCATGCTTGTGATGAAGAAACATGTCTTTCGAGGATTTATTTCTTGTCCAAGTAGCGAAGCCTGATAGCTGACAGAATCAAGGGGAAGCTGAATTCCTGCAGGATTTGCACGAACACGCGTCAATGAAAATTTGCATTGGGCTCTGCTTCGTCGTTGAACACCAAATACACCTCTTTTAGTGTGCCTCGAGTATGCTTATAATATTTAGTTGGCCAGTGTGCGTCAGGTCCGAATGAAACTAAGATAAGAGGAGTGGAAGTGAGGCACGTAGGAATAGCAAAATATAACAGCTACTGTAAACAGCTTCCAGAAGTTGGCTAAAAGCTCTGTATTGTTCTCTGTAGCATGATCAATATTTTTGAAACCTTCGTCAAGAAACCGATCGTGAAATCACGAAAATATGGACAAAATGTGGACAAAAAACTCAACAGAAGAATATCGCTTACACAACTCAGTGGCAACTAATGCAACTTTTATGTTTTAGGTATCAGTACACCAAAGACAAGATCAGCCTGATCTTGGTGTTTGCTTGTGATCACCCAATCAAAGTACAGATAGTATATAACCATTGAAAGAATACTGTAGATGTTAGACACTACAAACTTACTAATGAGCAAATTTGGCCGCAAACCAGTTGAACCGTGAATGGGCGTTACTTTTCTGCTTAAAACTACAAAACAGTTAGGTCAAAGCTTAAGGAGTTGTGTCCAAGAATTGTGTGACCTTTGGCGTAAAAATCGGTTCTACATCTTTGGTTACAGTGTTGCAGTATGAACATATACATATACATGCTATATATGTTTACTGTTCGTGCTCCCAGTATATTTTGTATTCAGATAGGTGGAAAGCGGAAAAAAGTGCCGTAACGAGATAACAAAAATTTTCTACAACTACCACTGCCACTGCGTGCTACACTAGGAAGAGACAGTCAGGAGGAACAAATTACCTAAAGGTCAGTTAATTACTTCATTGTTTGGAAATCGGGACGTGAATATATCAACACCATTCTAATGAGTAAATGCAACTCCTTCAAGAATATTAGTAACATCTTTCTCATGCATACAAGCGCTCACAAAGTGTCTACGTTACAACCTGTCTGTTCTGGAGTTGACTGTTGGACGTAAGCATGAAAACAGCCAGTCAGGATAGACGAATGCTTCAGTTGGTCCGAAGCACCCTTTGACACCGGTGTCTAGTTAATATACTACTCTCCAAACTGCACTTCCCTCATTCAGCCGATTAACCGGGGTATATAGGCTTGTCCTTCAGTTATGAGATCTGACTTTAAAACAACTTTATGGATAACAAGATTGATGAGGATTTGTTGCTGACAGCAATGCAGTTAATCTTGTATGTCTTGAATGCTGTTCCCGTCGCTAAACTAGTGAGTGCTCTCAAATTTACTTCACACGACTTACAGGGGGACGTTGATCAGGAGGATTATGAAGAGATTGAAAAGTGCATGAAAAATGGTAACGGTGTACTTCAGAAGAAGGGGCAACACCAAGACGTAAAGTCCAGGGGAACAACCTAGATTTCACTCATGTTTTCAATACTTTAAGGAGAGAGACGATCACCACCCTTTAGAATGGAGAAATACAGGTGTTTTCATAGTGGTAAGACGGAGTAAGAAGCAGGTGCACATGCAAGTAGAGCACTCAGCCTTTGAAATGCTATGAACTTAAACATAATGTGGAGTCTTCTAGGCTGACAGATTGCGCCGTTGAACGTAGCCCTATTTTCTGGACTTGTATCAGTCACGAAGAAAGCCACTGCTGTTTATGGTGAAGTTACCGTGAATAGCTGATTGTATTGAATGATTATTGTATTATATTTTACCACTTAAAAGCTTATTTGTTCATTACTTTGACACTTTGCGAACCACACGTATTTATTATAAATATATATATATGTATATATATGTACCTATAAATATGCTTCTTTTGGCGCATGATGACCGAACCATGAACTGAGGCATCTGACGTTTTGAACAAGTGAATGATGAACCAGTCAATGCGTTAGAATTTGATATGCATCTGATCTCCTACCTCAACTTATTCACTAGGGCACATCAAGGGTACCGGCACCAAATCTTTTTGAACTCTAAGGATATGTTCAAAATAACGTTTACCCTAAGTGATAATCTGCACAGAGCATGTCCTAAAATTCTTACCGTAGATTTTCATATTAATTAACGTACGGTTTCGGCGTCGTAGCTCACTGTAGTGATAGGGAGAAGTTGCATTTTAAAAAAGTGCCATGCCGTTTGTAGCCGGCGGTCATCTATTTCTGTCACTGCTGCGGAGTATGTGAATGAACAGACGAACGGACCAGCACAATCTGGCTTGAACTACGCTGAAAGAATTAGTATGCGCTACCCAAAAATTGGGTTTTCTTGGACGATCAATTATGCAGTGCCTGATTCGCAGAAGCAGCTGATGCCCTAAGTCTCCCTGTAGTACTCAACAGGAGAAAATTAATTACTCATTTGCTCACTTGGAGTCGGCCCCGTGGCCTAGGACCAAACGGCTGACTTGGTCAGGCATCTGAAGTAATCATTTTCATTGAGCTACTTATTAAATTATGAGTAGTGCTTGTTTACCCCGACTGAGGAAGCAAGCGGCCGATGCAACTCGATTGCCATATTTACGCCATGGACCTTATAGTCATGGGTTGACATTTGTTCCGAACGAACAGAACTTGTCAGTCATTGTGAGAGAGATGACCATAAAGGTCGGACTTGACAGCCAAATACACTGCACACAATCCGGTGGGGAATGCGAATTACTCCGCCAGGCATTAACCCGCAGTTAAGTTTGAAAGTGAAAGCAAGATATAAGGACAACCCACATTAATGACACTGATTTTCCTTATTTAGACCTTTTGGTATGCCATCTCGGAAATACTAGCAGAAGAAGTAGAACGTCAAATTACTATTGAAACCGATCTTTAATTCGACAAGCCCTCAACTGCAACTCAAGAATCACCCATCCTCGGTGACAAGCTCGCTTAGCATCACACCTACGTAAGCCCAAACTTTAGTAGAATGAATACCCAACAAAATAGCTCCGGTCTGCGTCTTATCACCCGGTACAAACTTTAGATCACTGTCACTCTGCAGTGAAAAAAACATGTCAAAGTGTCACTGCCCCCAAATGCTTTAAAATCGAGAAAATGAACGGAACAAACGCTGACCGCATGTCATAGAGTGAAATCTCCTAGAGGATGTTTAGTTTTATTTGATATATATATATATATATAATTCAAGAGGTGATATGATAATGCTAAATTCAGTTTCTATGATTGGTTTTCATGATAGAATACCACTTTGTGTACTAGTGAACATAAAAAATGGTCTTTTTGAGGTTTCTGAGCGAAGTTCTGTCTTGAGCAAGCTAGTTGACATGAATCATTTAATAGTAATAGTAGCGGTAATGATATGCTATGATAATGATATGATATATATGGTCGGCGAGCTGAACCACCTCCTCGTGGTGCCGACCGGGTAGCCTGGACGTCTGTCTGGGTGAGCTAAGAGTTCAGCAACTCCAGACAGGGCCAACCACCCCGTTTGGTTTCAATGTGCTGGTTACTTTCGACAATGTATACTACGAATCATCTGGCGCCTCCGCACCAGTTCCAACCAGTACACAGGAGAGACTCGTTGGGTTCACGTGTGAGGAATGTGGCAAGTGCTGCAAATCGAAAGCTGGCTT